CCATTCAACTTTCATCTTTAGTTTTACTAGCACTGTGTATTGCAAAGCATATTTAGTATCATAGATCATTTCAGGCACTATGCTATTACAATTTTTTTTTAGAAAATCGACCAACAATATTTTGCCTTGCCTAAGAATAAAACCCTTCGCCATGCAGATGTACTTTACAACACCTCTACTCTCATATCAGTGTAGGACAAATCTCACAAGCTGACATGTCGACTCATGGGAGGCTGAAAGCATTCGCGACGACTTGACAATAATTACAACGGACGACAGGCGACGTCTTTTATGTTATGGGATGTCCCCTAAGGTGATGTGTTGTTTTGTTTTTCTTTAAGTACGAGTATTGTTACTATCGTGGACCAAAAATTGTTTACTTCTCAGTCATAAAACATGTTTATGGGAAATATACTTTATCGCTTTATCGTTGATTAAAAGGACGTATGTACATTGTACTTACTTCATTTTAAAAGACCGGCAACGCATTTGTGGCTGTTCTGGTGTTGTAAGAGTCTATGGGTGGTTCTAGTTGCTTAGCATCAGGTTATTCATGTGCTCGTTGACATTCAATGTGATATTGACATTATATGGGACTCATAACATAAATAGCGAAAAGTAGGTGTAACATTATACAGTGGCATTAAGTGCCGTAATGTGCTTACCACTTCGGGAATAAAAGACGTGATATTATGTTATGTTACATTGTATTCCATAACAAAAAAAAAACATTTCGAAGTACCCTTTAAACTTGAATATCGATTCTTTTTGACATGGGCACGGAAATATTTTTACTATTTATAAAAATGAAAGATAAAACGCATTGCCTTAAAATCCTACATATTATTACAAAAAAACATTCTCCCTTCAAAACTACTAGTATCGTCGTAACTCCAGCTCCGTCAAAGCTATGTTTACCCGAAACTTTGTATCACCAAGTTTGTAACAATGAGGTTTGTTCCCCAACAGGTATCACAACTGAGGCCGAAACTATTATGAGTTAATTCCACGTATCCCTGTCAGTTTCATTTTGTTCTATATTAACAAATATTCACTGAATTTTATCTAATTACCAGTTAGAAGTTTCAAAATTTACCCCCGACCCTCAGATGTGTGTAAAATTTTAACATTTCGTAACTTTAAATTCACATTTTGAAATTTTATTTAGACCGATTACCCCCACGAACACCAACAGTTTATAAGTGCCCACTACTGAGCAAAGCCTCTTCTCACACGGAGTAGGTTTGAGCATTAATCATCACGCTTGCTCATTGCGGGTTGGTGATTTCAAACTTACAATTAGAAATTATGATTCAGGTTTCCTCACGATGTTTTCCATCATCGTTCGTCAGTGGTGTCAAAATAATCTTAGGAAGTACATATAGCTCGGAAAAAGTGACATTGATACTTGCTGTTAGTAGGTTTCGAACCCTCATGCATAAGAAGCGGGCGTCACAACCCCCGGGCCACTACGACACACGTGTATATGAAGTGCTACTTTTTATGGATAGTTTTGGAGAACATAGTGCTATTATCCTTCATCAAAGAGGTTTAAGTCTGAATAATGCAAGTCTATTTATAGTAAGACATGGCCTAGGGAGCTGTCAGACTTAGTTGTGAGGTGTTAACCACGTGGGCGAGGTTTTAGAACCTACCTACGTTTGCTTTGTTAATAACGGGCAAAGTAATCAGAAAACTTCATGTTATTCTGACCACACTTGTTCAATTGTGAACTCTACGTGAATTTGATTAAAGTTTACGTTTGGAGGCAATACGGAGAAAAAAAATACACATATGCAGTTTTTTAAGGAGGGAATATCATCGAATGACTGCTCCCGCCTGGGTGAGGCGGGAGGAAGTGTCAGACGTCGAGCCGGAGCCCCTGTAAACCGTTAGGTTCTCCGCGACCCCGAATCGGCATCAGCCTTGTTGGGCCCCATCCGTGGTGGTCTGATGGCTCTTTGAGGCGAGCGCGGAACGCGACGCGCCCTACGCTCGGGTCTGTTTCTGGTCGGACGGGGAACCACCCATGCTCGCCGTCCGCAGGCCCGCGTTTACAGTGGCCGGAGATCGTCCCGCGATCCCCGACGCCCGGTGTGTCCTTCGCGATGGCTGGATTGCGAGGCAGCGAAGCGCTTCCCCACGCGTCCCGCCTCCTCCTTAGCTAGCATACACATATACAGAATGATTTTATTTTCCTGTCATATGTTAAAATACCTTAATTGCTTAACTCTTGTTTGCTCATCAAATTTTACCTCCATACTAAGCCTACGAAGTCGTTTTACACGAACATATTACAGAAGTGACACAGTAAAACTTTAGATTACCCTCATTATAACGTTCTTAGTAAACATAAACGTATGTTATTGCATATTAAAACTTGTTACAAATGCCATAAGCGTTAATTTATGTTGATCCCTAGTTGCTCAATTTTGGCACTTGAGAGTTATGGCAATAACGTTTAGGTGGAAATTTTAACATTACGGACATGTGAACACATCTCTTAATATCCAAAGGAAAGTTAAATCAAAAGTATACTTCGTTATAATTTCTATTAATTGAAACACCAATATGGAAGCCTTACGAACGAATAACTTTTTAATTTCTTAAAACCAGAGATAGAAGCATTGGCCATAGACAATGTTAATACCATAAATACAAACCATAGATATATTTTGATAGACAAACTTAACAATTTCTATCTTTTCAAGGATGATTATATATATTTTATTAAATTTTTAGCTATGGTTGTCCCACTACAGGGCATACCCTCCTTCAACTCATCTTGTCGTATAGCTTTCTGTGGCCAATCCTTTTCATAGGCTTCAAGTTCATCCCGCCATCTCATTCTGGGCCTGCCGCGATGTTTATTGACGTTGAATGTGCTCAATATAAATATATACAGATTTAGATATACATACAGATCATTATTTATAGTTTTGTACACTTGCTCAATTTTAACCCTCTAAATTGGATACTTTTCGCGCCCGACTAATGAAAGGCTAGTAAATTTTAAGTTGTACTTAAATATCGTGCGATCTCTGTCATTTTGCAAGCAATTTGTAGTGACAGAACTATTCCTAAGCACGAAATAATTGAGTGGCGTTTAAGTATTTCAGCGTAAGTGCATTTTCTTTAATTGAATGTTACATACTATGGTTTACATTGTATTGCCTCATTAGCCGAATGGTCGCAAGTGCGACTGCCGGGCAAAGGGCCTTGGGCTCGATTCCTGGGTCGGGCAAAGTATTACTGGGTTTTTCAAAAAATTCACAGGAGTAGCACGGTGTCTGGAATTTTGCCCGGTATATGGCAATAACCTCATCCCCTATTACATGGGACTCATAACATAAATAGTGAAAATTGGGTGTAACATTGTACAATGGCATAATGTACACCTCTACCTACACCATTGGGGATAAAAGGCGTGATGTTATGGTATGTATGTTACATAAATCACTTCATTACAGCTATTTCAACTTTCCCTGATTTAATCGGAAAAATCACAAACAATAAACAGAACCTTATTCCTAGTAAAACCTCAATACTGGAAACACCCAATAACCTGACTACAGCTAATATTTTGACCGTAAAATTCCCATAAATTTTATGTATGAAAACGAACTTTGATTTTTATGTCACTATAGCTATAAAAATATTATTTTTTATTGCCTATGACACATTTTTTTGACAAGAGATTACATCTAGGATATTAAAAGGACGTTTTTGATAGAGTTAGGTAATAAAATTTGTAGTTCAGCCTCAAGGGTGACAGTCTAGGGTTTATATTATTGTGAAATTATTATTGGCTTAGCGAGCGATGCAGAATGCCATATAAATTGGATTTTTTGTTTTATTTTGCTGAAAGGGTTAATCGTTCTCTAAGTTTTGAATTCAAAAGGTTAAGGGCCGGGGACTGCCTCGTTGGCAGAGTGATCGCAAGTACGACTGCCGGGCAAGGGGTCTCGGGTTCGATTCCCGGGTCGGGTAAACCATTACTGGGTTTATAAAAAAAATCTCAGCAGTCTGGAATTGTGCCCTGTATAATTATGGCAATAGGCTCACCCCCTATTACATGGGACTCATAACATAAATAGTGAAAAGTGGTGTTACATTTGTACAGTGGCATTAAGTGCCGTAATGTTCACCTCTGCCTACCCCTTCGGGAATAAAAGGCGTGATGTTATGTTATGTCTTCAATCATTAGTTAATTCTTAACTGTGAAGTTACATTGACATTTGACAGCTTTTAGAATGGAAGAATTGTTAAATATTCAACGTTCAAATTCCTCAGTTAAAATTTATCTGGGGTTGGGAAAACTAGCCCCAAGTTCATTTGTGTTAACAGATTTAATTTGGTAAATAAACACACATAATGTATGTAGTTCAGTTTAAACTAGATTATGCAAACATACATAACATTAACGATAACAATATTGGCTATTATGTAAAAAAAACAATTTACCTGAACGTCTTGCCCTCTATCAAACATATGAAAAACTACAACCCTCTCAACCCTCCTTACATAGCAACACTTCTTACACCACGCGCTAGATGGCGCTGTCCACAACTCCCTACAATATTACATTATTTTCACAAAACAGTGTTGTACGATTTGTGTTCGTTCATAGCAAAGTTACTAGATGTCATCATCATTATCAGACTGTATTCGTCCACTGCTGGACATAGGCCTCTCCAATGGCACGCCACTGAGCTCGGTCTTTAGGTCTTATTATCCAACCACTACCAGTCACCTTATGGATGTCGTCACCACACCCAGCTGGAGAGCGCCCTACACTACGTTTGCACGCGGTCTCCACTCTAGAACACGTTTATATACGTTTAATAGATGTAGTGAAAATTAAATAACATTGAAAGTTTACACAGAAGATTCCTTTACTTGTTCTGCTTGATATTTTAGCTTGAGATATATCCACCAACCTTAACCAGTTCTCTTTTTTGTATATTTTTACAAAACAAGGTATAATAAGACAGCGTTAATACGTAGGTAAGTACATAGTTTATTACAAAAAATATATACATATATCACATCACATTACAAAACCCTCATAATTGTAATACTTTCACGCCTTCTTAGAGCGAGAAGGATCATTTAGTTCTGCTCCAAAAACATTCAGAAGGAACACTTTGTAATCTTCTGCCTTTACTGCATACGCCACTCTGACATTAGCCTTGTCTTTTTCAACAAAATCGTTTTTCATTATACCTCTTTTGTCACCTGTAAAAATAAAAATATTTTTTTAAAGAAATAAATCGGTAAACGAACAGATGGATCACCTGATGGTAAATAATCGACGTTGTTCATGGATACCAGATGAGTGTTAGGTACAAGTATGTTACCAGTCTTTTGGGGTTTAGGAATTTGAGGATTTTTGGGGATTCGGGGATTTAGGACATCGGGGAGGAGGGTAATTTGGTCTCTGGTAACGGCACTCACACCACGAAACACAACGCAAGTTGTTATTTTCTCGTAGGTTTTCTGTGACATTAATTTAGTCTTCCTTTTGTTTTATTTTGATACGGTTAGTCTTGACTAGCTAGCTAGGTTAATCAAATAAAAAGCAAATCACTAAGCACCAAGCGGACACTAAGGGACACTTAGTACATTTGGTTGCTAGCGGCGAGTGGTAGCGCAGCCGTGGTGTCCCGGTGAAATATAGCCCCAAGGTTCAAGTTCGTTTCTCAATGTTTCTTATATTATCGCGTATATTCCACGTTTGTGGCAGTTTTCAGTTAATTATCTTCTCGTCTTATGTTTTAAATCTTAATATACTTTAATTAGAATATTCTTAGATTTGATTTATACAACTCGACTAGTTTCAAGTCATGCTAAAGGCTTATATTCATGAGCAGTTTTCTGCTACCCACGACGCGGCGACTGTCCCGCTGCTACTGTCACGCTGCTACTTATAACTAGTTACGTGAGTAAGCCGAAAGACATAATAATTAATTTAGTTTGTCCCACGGAAGATATAACATAAATACAGAATCTTATTGTTTGACCACACGTCTTACAGAGATTTCTGTTATCCGCTTGATTGCTTCGTGCAACCGTGGTTGCAAAGCGACGAAGTTTGTTAAATTCAATTTAGTCTCTATACCAAACGCATTTTTTTTTATAAGGGTGGAAAGTCATCGAATGACTGCTCCCGCCTGGGTGAGGCGGGAAGGAGTGTCAGACTCTAACTGACTAAAAACCACCCCGTTCCTTCTCCTGCACATCGAGCCGGAGCCCCGGTTACCCGTTAGGTTCTCCGCGACTCCGAATCGGCATCGGCCCTATTGGGCCCCATCTGTGTTGGTCTGATGGCTCTTTGAGGCGCGCGCGGAACGCAACGCGCCGTACGCTCGGGTCTGTTTCTGGTTGGACGGGGAGCCACCCATGCTCGCCGTCCGCTGGCCCGCGCTTACAGTGGCCGGAGATCCCCGACGCCCGGTGTATCCTTCGCGATGGCTGAGTTGCGAGGAGGCAGCGCTTCCCTGCCTCACGCGTCCCGCCTCCTCCTTAGCTAGCATGACTGCTTCGCAAAAGGAGGAGACGGCATCCCAGTTCCCCTCGCTCATATCCAAAGGCATAGAGTCGTAGTAGTATGTATTTAAACTAAAGGCAGATATATTTCTCATAGACCTGTGCCCATATTACCAACATCACGTTATGTTCCATAATGAATTTATTCTTGGAACGACCAAATAGATTCAATTAACTGATATAAAGTAATGGAAAATTCTATAATCACATGACACCTTTATCAAAGTACAAAGTACATAGTTTTTCGAAGGAAGTGCTTGGACTTTGTCTTTAAAAAACAATGCGATAAATCAAAATATTTTTAGCGAAACATCTGATAAAATCTATTAACCCTAATTAATGATATATCAAACTCCAATTAACGCATTTACTAAATATTAATATGTATTATATCATCTAAAACAAGGAAGTGATTAAGAGATTGCAGAATGCGATACATATAACCATCTGACACGTATTCTATTTACTTCGTCATATTATATGTGTTTTGGTTATTGGACTGTATAATAAAGAATTAATTTAACGATTTATCTGAAACTGGTCAACAAGCTGATGAATCACCTGTTGCTAGGCAACCGGCGACGACACATGGACACCTGCAACAACAGATGCGTTACAAGTACGTTAACAGCCTTTTCGTATTTGGGGATGGGGGGAATGTCTCTCCGGATTTCAATTGCAATCCAACTGCAAATTGCAGTTCGGATACAGTAATTGTACTGTAACCGGACAGCTCGTTTGGTTTGCAACAATTTGGTCATGACTGCAATAGAACTACAATGGGATTGCAATTTGCTGATGGATTCCAGTTGAAATGCGGTCCGTCTGTATAGAGCCTTACTCCTACAACGAAATACATAATAAATAAATAAATAATAATCGTAGTTCATCGCAGTCTTTCTATAAAGCAGTCATATCATTCCGATCTAGCCTGCCTATTCGCGTTGAAGCATGAATCTCCAATATTAATGAAATATGTAATAATACTTACCGCAAACATGAACGTCGTGCTTCGAATATTTGTATTCAGCAACTAGGTCTGGTCGCAGATACAATGCCACTGTTGCTGGGTCCAACGCTTGCCAGGTCTCTTCGTTGTCCAGAGCTACCTTTTCATACTTATTCTGTTCTTTTATTATCTCTGTGTCGATTTTTCCGAGTGTGTTGAATCTCCAATCCTGGTGAATGTAAAAATAATTGTTATAAATATATTTTTTATGACTGCCTCGTTGGTCGAGTGGTCCCGGGTCGGGCAAAGTAATACTGGGTTTTAAAAAAATTCTCAGTGGTAGAGTTTGAAATTGTGCCCGGTGTATGGCAATAGGCTCACCCACTATTACAAGGGACTCATCATAAATAATGAAAAGTGGGTGTTACATTGTACAGTAGCATGAAGTGCCGTAATGTGCACCTCTATCTACACCCTCCGGGGATAAAAGGCTCACGCCTCTTATCCATTTTCATTTCCACATTCACATTCTCTCAAAATCGCTGCAATAGATACAACCAGGAAAACACTGGAACACTGAAGTCTGGCGCGTCCCAGGGACATTGTAGTTTATTACCACAAAACGGCACGAATTGACTTCGAAGACAAACATGAAGGCACTCAAGCGCCGATTTCGACGCAGAATAACTGTTATATTGTCATGAGTTAGCTGATATTATTTTTTATGATTAATAGCACAGTGATCATAGAGATTTTTAGACCTGTAATAAGCTGATTTACGACCTAATTCCGAAAGGCTACCACTTTCCTGCCACTACAAATTATTTATAAATAATATAGATGGCACGATATTACAAATTAAAATTGAGTAACCTTCCAGTACTTAGCTGTTAGTATCATAAATATTCTTAAGACTACTTAGACAGCATAATGTCATTTACAAATTGTGGTATTCTTTTGAATTATCGCCCATATACACCATGTTGCTAATCGGAGTATGAAGCCCTTTCTAAATAATCGCCCATTTTTAAGCCAACCTTGCTAGTCGTTATAAGTTATCTAGAGGTATAGATTCCACCATGAAATTCCTTATATGTATTCTTGTATTGTTGTCTACATGTGTCTTACTGAGCTATGGCTAGTCTCACTTTACTTACTTTACTAAAAGTCAAGTACTCCTTAGTTTGTGAGAAGGGGAAGATGGTGACTTTGTCCGGAGAAGCGTTCCTTACTACAATGTGGTATGCTTCCACGTCCATACGAGCGTTGAACTCTGGCAACGGATACTTTTCACCTGTGCAATTAAATACATATTATATTAAGGTAAAATAGTATTTTTTAAGGGGGGCATATCATTATCATCGAATATCTTCTCCCGCCTCACCCAGGCGGGAGAGAGTGGCAGACTCTTACTAACTAAAAACCAACCCGTTCCTTCTCCTGCACTTCGACCCAGAGTCCCGGTAACCCGTTAGGTTCTCAGCGACAAGTAAAATAGTATAAGGTTTTATAGTAAACAGTTTCATCAGCTAGTTCATTTAAACTTTTGACTGCTGACAGAATACTGTTAAGGATAATTCCTCCGCTATCGTCGCCCACATGCTGCCCGCCATAGCGTTCAATGTATTAATGTCTCTATAAACTGCCACGCATATTTTCAACAGAAGCAGATTTAGTTATTTCTATCCATAGTCAAATAATGTGATGAGCAATGCTAAAAATGAAAAAGAAACGATTTCCCTGCAATGAGATAGTTAAGAGGCTGGCATTTGACTAGCATTACATTCTCTCTTCTTAGTCGATTCCCACACTTCTGAGGATCGTAACTCCGTGATAACAACTCGTTCCTTGATGTATTGCAACATTAATGGGCATCTCCAGCTCCTGGGATATTTGGTCAGAATTACATTAACCTGTAAACTGTTGGAACACAGAACTACGCTAGACACTATGACGTATCTTCTATTGTGTCTCATATATCGACAGACAAGAGGTTAATAAAGCATTTATACACACAAAACCTCTTGTGTAATTACATTTACTGATTCCAATGATAAAATAATTAATGAATACCTTTATTATAGTAATATTTTTACAGTAATAATAATAAATAATTTGTATGTCCATCACATTTAGATTAAAATTGTCCTTAAGGACCTCTGTGTAGTTGCTTCGGTCCTCCGTACGCCTCCCAATAACAGGGACCGTGTGTTACCGTAAATGGTAAAGACACATAATAATAAATGAATATCTTACTGTGAATATGTCCAGCGCCGATGTACAAATGGCTCAATCTTGACAAAAAGTCCGGATCCAATTTGATAGCCAAAGCTACGTTTGTCAATGTTCCAATAGTTATCACTGTCAGGTTTCCTGTAAAAGAGTTGAATAATAATCTTATAACTCCTTACTTCTACCCAAGTTGGAAACATTTTGACTTTGGACAGGAATGAATAAATACAGGTGTAACAAAAACGTATGATAATCGAAAACCTACGAACTGATAGTCACAGTAACAGTGACACTGACCTATAGACCATGAAAAGATCTTCCAGTCAATAGGGTAGTTTCCTAAATTTTATTTTAATGTCCGTTTAATAGATTATTTTAAAACATTAGACACGTATTTTTTCTTTTCTCACAAAATTAAATTATTTTGACGATAAGTATATTGATTTGAAATATCGCGTGACGTCACAGCGTGCTACAAAATTTGGTAGGTTGTGACGTAACTACCTCCCACTCCTAAACTTAACTCCATTTTATCTAAGTATTGTAACTTTATACGAGAAAATCAAAAAATACGTCTCTAATATTTTTTCATTATCTAACTGACGGACTACTTAGATTTTTAATTTTCTTACCCTGGAAACTACCTAATTCCAGAAGCAAAAACTCGGAGACGAACGATTACAAACAAACATCTGGACTATAGTTACCTTCATAAAGTTTAGAGTACTTAATGAGGGCATTGACAGCACCCTCAGTCTGTGCTGGTACCAGATCAGGGAAGGTTTCTCCAGTGTCTCCTAGTCCATCAACACCATAATAGTTTGACACCTTTGGAGTTGTCACTATAGATTCTTTGGAACCCCTGTATATTGGCACCTGGAAAAATATGTGAATGTAAACATTAATTTTAAATTGGAAATGTGTTTACCTGTTATAGATATTTTTACACAATTTCTGATCCTAATTCAAAATCATCAAAATGTGCAGACTTTGGCTTTAGACAGAAATATAACGAATGATAAAAATCGAACTTAATCAAATAAATTTGTAATATACTAGGGACTGTTGACTGCCTCGTTGGCCGAGTGGTCGCAAGTGCGATTGCCGGGCAAGGGGTCTTGGGTTCCCGAGATTCCCGGGTCGGGCAAAGTATTACTGGGTTTTAAAAAAAAACTCAGTAAGAGCACGGAGTCTGGAATTGTGCCCGGTATATGGCAATAGGCTCACCCCCTATTACATGGGACTCATAACATAAATAGTGAAAAGTGGGTGTTACATTGTACAGTGGCATTAAGTGCCGTAATGTGCACCTCTGCCTACCCCGTCGGGATTAAAAGGCGATTGTTATGCAACAATCATTTAAAATGACGATTATGTTTTAACTTATCTGAAATACAGGAAAAATAGGATCAATGAATTATTATTGTTTGTTACTTAAGAATAATTGAGTATTGTTCTTAATACTTGTATATATGTTACTGTAAAAGCTCGAACTGCAGTAAATCCTAAGATATTCCAGTAAAACCTAAGATCTACCAATTCCTAATGGTAAATGTCCAAAAAAATTTGCGATTCGAACTTTTACCACCATTCCGTTGGTAAATCTTAGGATTTATATCAACGGCATGGTAAATGTAGAAAAACAAAACATGTCATAATGTGCTCAGCGCATCGACTTGTAGCTTGCCGCCCCCGCTACCCGCGCACCGTCTCCGCCACTCCGCTCGCCTCAATCGCTCGTTTGACACGTTTGAACTCGCACGATAAATTGATTTATAATTATATTTTTGGTGTTTAAAAGTTATTTATGAATAAAAATGAGTAAGAAGCAAAGATTTTATCCCTTAAAAAAAATAATAAAAATAAATCATAAGACATCAAAGAAAACATTTTCCTCATCGCTACCGTGAGGTAGGGTGCCCAAAAGACTGGCAGCATTGCCACGTT